TGTTGAATGCATTACAAAATATTTTAGGGTGTTGGATATAAGTAAGAACATATTTCAGGATACTGAATGCACCTTAACCAATTAAAATATATATTAAATTAATACTATTAATTTAAAAGCTTATAATATAAAGTAGTTAATAGATTTAATAGAATTTTTAATTATATTATGAATGCTGAAAAAAAATCCTGGTTAAAAAACTTGAAAATCACAGTTAATAATATTAATAAAATTGTGATTATTATTTATAAGAGTTGCCAATCATATTATGAATATTAAAAAAATCCCAAAAATAAAATAGTTGTTGGTAATGATGGTGACTTGAGGCTTTACAAAGAAAAAGTGAAATATTATAAATTTACCAACATTTCAAAATTTCAATTTTGTCATTACGACTTATTTGAAATTTTACAAATTTAGGTCATCTTTTGGAGTTTTAAAAATTCAACTATAATTTTTTTTTATAATTTTTCCTTAATTAAATTTTTATATATTACCTCTATTTAAATCATTAACCATTCGAAAATGCAATGGAAATTTTGAAAACTTAGTTTAAATATTTGTAAAACCAGAAATTTATTCCATCTTCAAACAAAGTTGATAATTTATATTGATCAGATATGTCTTCACTCTTCAGCTTTAATTCTTTTGGATGGAGAATATGCTTTTACGAAAGTTAGCCTGTCCAAAACTTAACTTGATTCCACTATAAATTAGTTGGAGTTTAACATGGGTTTTGGATGTGATGCGTAAATTTGTTCTAAAAGTTTTTTTTAATAGCTTTGGATATTTGTAATTTTTTAGGAGGAATTACAATAAAGTCTCACAAAAGAGAAATAATTACCAAAAGGTCCAAATAACAATCGTAATAGTCTATAATGACAAGTCTTATAGTGAGAATGACAACCTCTGGGACTTGTTTTTCAATTGTTTTCCTTGCTTGGTACCTCATTGTAATTCTCTCATTTTTTTAGGTGACAAATTTATCCTAAAAGTTTAAAATCTTAGTGATCTTGATCAATATTAGTAAACAAAACTAACATTGACAATGAAAATAGTGACATTAACTATTAATATTTTTAATAATAAAACGCAACATTACTATGATTTTAAATTTTTGGGATAAATTTGTATAAAAATTTTTTTAGATACCCAATGCTCTTGATGAAAACTTTCAGATAAAAGTAATATCTTAACCCATTGGTTAAATAAGGAAATCCCACTCATAGTAAAAAGTTCTCTTATATTTTCAAATGTTGTTTAAATACAATCATTATTAGATTTTTCATTTTTTTTTTCACATTCACTTCTTGTTTACACAAAACGCACTCAAAGTTCCTCTGCCTTGTTAGTGACTCAAAGTTTTCCTCTTCAAGGAACAGTTGATTCACTATTTCTGGCTCAAATTCATTTGGGAATTCCGAATTCCAGTATTACTCTATTATTATTATTATTATTATTATTATTATTATTATTATTATTATTATTATTATTATTATTATTATTTTGTTAAAGTATAGGTATTCTTCTATTGAAAGCAATCTTATTCGAGGCACTGTCAAGCACTAAATGTGGACACCTCTCTCAGTGGGGATTGGAATCTTGGTTCGTCACGTTGTGAGAGACTAGCTCCTTCTGTTAAACCCAATCTCCGTCGGTTATTTATTATTTTTTAATTTATTAATTATTAAGTAATCACACTGCTCATAAGACTAATATCCTAGCAGCAGAGGGGTTTGCTGATTCAAAATTAGCGTTTGAGGTGTTCATATTCAATTTATAATTCTTTAATTTCTCAGCAATTAATTATATATATTTATATATCTTTTAGTTTAATTTTTCTGAGTAATTCATTATATATATTCATTTTGGCCAAAAAACTATTTATTTTTAAACTCAAAAGTAAACTATTATTTTTATTTTCTTTCGAATTAATTGAAAGGATTTTTCACATCAGATGTCTAAATTGAATATCATGTAAATCTCATCTTTGTTATTTCTATTTTTTAAATTTATCCCTCAATTAAGTATTCCAATCAAGTGATAGGATTTTATTTTCTTTCATAAAGGATCATTTGTTTCAACTTTTTTTCATGAAAAATCACTTCCTGTAAAAAAATCACTTGTTAGACATTTTATAATATTTTGAAAGGAGATAAAAATAATTATAATTTGAAAAAATTATTTTTAATTATTTTGAAAAATTACTTGAAGTACTTTTTGAAAATAATAAGATGAGTAAATAAAAATATTTAAATACGTTGAAAAATCATTTAGAGCTTGTTTGGATTACCGTTTGAAGACCCAAACGTGCCTAGGAATTTGTGAAATGAAGATTTGAAGCTTATTTGTGATTTTTTGCTTGTTTGGGTCAACGTTTCTAAAAAAGCTCATAACCGACTTATCATCCGATAAAACCAATGCTACTTTTTGCTGCTTCTCCCCCGTTAGCATCGTATCCAGTGTTAAGATTTTTCACATGCCCATCTTTTCCTCCACACACATCATTTCTCTCTCTTCCCCCCCTTCGTGAATAATGAAATCCATGTTAATATTTTTATTTCATTTTTAGTCGCTATTATTCTTATAACTAATAGTCTCTCCCCAAAAAAATTTAAACAATTCACTAATTAAAAATTATAATTTTTATTTTTATTTTCATTTTTATGTTTGACTCATCAAAATAAAAAATTATTAAAATTACCTTTTTAATTAAAATATGACCAGTTATATTTTACAAATTTTTCAATAATACTTGGACTCCTTTTAAGTCATTCTCACAATTAATTTTAATATTTCTCTTAAAATTATTACATTATATGCATATAATATAAATATGTATTATTTAATATAATTCATATCCTTTTAAGTCATTTTACATTCAAACTTATTTTTTCATTAATTATTCAAACAAGTTTTAACTTTTTCAACTGACTTTTTATAAGCATCTATCCAAACATAAATCGCATTACATTAACTGACTTTTATTCTAACTTCAGTTACAAAAGTTAGTTAAACTAGAAGTCAGTTTTACCTAACGCCAATCCAAATACACCCTTAATTGTGGGGATTGTTTGCAGTTTGTAGCCGTTAAATTCACGCAAGCACGACGTGCATCTAAGTGTAAGTTTACGAGTGTGTTTGGATTAGCGGTAGAGAAGTAACTTTTTTTTCAATCTGACTTCTACAGAAGTCAGATCGGAGAAAAGCAACTTTTTTGAGCTTATTGTATAAGTCCGTTTCAGTGACAGAAGTCAGATAGTCCCACCGCAGATCTAAACATATAAAACTACAGTCACATTAAAGGGGTGTTTGGATATAACCAAACCATGGTTTGGAGAATAGCTTCTGGAGAATAGATTTTGGGGAGAATAGATTTTTTGAAGAATAGATTTTGTGAAAAAGTGATTCTGAGAAGTGAGAGTGTTTGAATAGTTGTTACCAGAAACACTTTTTATATGTACAAATTACTAAAAAAGGCATAAGTTAATATGATAATTACAGAAAAAATATATTTTATGATATATTTTAATTTGAAAGAATAAAATTGTTAATAATATATTTTTTATTAACATAATTAATAATACATAAGATAATATAATTAATAAATAATTAATATGTATATATATTTATAAGATATAAGATTAAATATATTTATAAAAAAATATGTTTATAAAAAAATAACAAGACACGTATCCTATATGCCTCTTTTTTCCAAAAGCAAAAAAATTTTGCTTTTCCCAAAACCATGATTTTAGAACCAAAACCATGATTTTGGTTTTTTTAAGGGTGTTTGGGTGATTTTTTCCCAAATCATGGTTTGGATCCCCAAACCATAGTTTGGGTTGGAACCCAAACACCCCCTAAAAGCCAAATTGGGACGCACGTTTGGGGGCCCAAACGTGGTCCCAAACGGACCTACGATATTGCCCCTGAACGCCAAAACGACCGAGACTAGCGTTATCTGGTCATTTTATTTAAGGAGCCAAAGTTCCTTTTGCCAAATTCGCATCCGTGTCTCCCTCCTCTCCAGCTTAGTTCAGATCTCTCGTTTGTTCACGTACTCATCTTCTTTTCTCAAAGGTACGCTGCTTCAATCTCTTGGAATTTAGTTTGCATCTCTCATATCTCTTTAAATTGAGGACATTTTCAAAATTTCGGCTTTGATCTCTTCCCATTTGAATTTTTTGCTTGTACCCCTCAAATTTTGAATATTTTGCATAGATCCGAATTTTGATTGGGATCTATGAAGTTTCCATTCTGTGAACTGACAGCCTGCGTCAGACCCAGAATGATACCGTTTGAAAGGCAACATTTTGTTGCTCTGTTTGACATCGTTCAACTTTGTAGTGGCTGCATGTCATTTTGGGTTTTGGAGGGGGGATTGGACGAGTTTAATGATATTTCTTTCAATTTTTAAAATCTTCGTTGTCCTATTTTTTCTCCTTTTCTAATCTCTTTTAGAATAAAAATGGTTTCTTCTGGTTGTTTGTTAATTTTGCATGCATTTTATGCTAACTATACTTCAGAGCTGTCTTTTGTCTGGATCTAATTCTGGAAATTTGTTTACTTCAAAGAAGATTTGATCTGTTGTATGAAGATCTGTCAAGATTCTGCCTTGATCTGTTGAACAGTGAATACCACTATGATTCTACGAATCAATTTCTGCAAATAGCTAATTTTCAAAGGATGCGAGAGTTTAAATTGTAAATAATGAATATATGAACTCAAATTAAGTTTTTATCCTAGCTGAATTTATTGTTCTTTGCCTATACCCCTATCTTAACATGTACATGTTTTTGCTTTGATTGAAACCTCAATGGCTGCTTCGCTCTATGACGTCTGATGATTGGCCTTTGCCCTATACTAACTGCTTACCTAAAATCGTAGTTTTTGGACAAATAATAATTTTTTTTTAATAGATACCTTTTGGTACGGCATTTAATAGGTACTCATGGGAACAGTTGTTGAAGCAGCAAGCCAGGTATTTTTGTTCCTTATGCACATTCACTTCCAGCACTTAAGAAATGAAGATCATTCTTTTGAAAATCATATTAAATTGAGGAGAACATTGTATTTCCTTCTGCCATATAGAATTCTTGAAGTTTGAACTTTGTGAAAATTTCCCCCCTTTTATTTCCTTCCTTTTTTTTAACTCATGTAAGTGGTTGTTTGGTTTCACTACAAATAATCATTTTTTTGCTTTATAAGACAAAACTCTTTTCACATATTTATCTCGTGCAGTACAATATCACTTAAGATAAGTTGATACAAACTGATACCAAATCTTAGACATTTGGATTATCATGTTTCGGTTAGATGCCATGGATTATCATGTTGCTAACTCTGGCCAATTATAGTTTTGTTACTTACTATCATAACAAACTTCAAACCTCAAATAGTCTGTCGTTTTTGTTTTGTCGTTTATTCTATCATTTTCCTGTTGTTAGATCTGGCAGGTTATAGCTTCGTTAAACTCAATCATATCAAGCTTCAAATCTGAAATATACTTTGTCTGTCATATTTTCGTCAGCATTTATTTGATCATTTTTTTTAACTCTGGCAAATTATACCTTGGATACTTACAATCATGGCAAACTGAAAACCTTGTGTTGTCAATTTTTTTTTCTGGTCATCTATTTTATCATTATTTTGCATGATTAATCTTAACTGTTCCTTTCCCTTTTTTCCTTTTTGTTACTTTTACTTTTTGGGGTTCTTCATTGGCTCATAGGATGCAAATGGAAATGCCGTAGAGAAAAAGCCTACAGTGTTTTTGTGTTAGGTGAGCACAAATTGGGAGCATTCAAATGATGCAGTTTTTGTTTTGCTATTCTATGGTTGACTTGGGAGAAATTCTGACCTTTCTTCTTTCTTTATAAGCTTTGAATTGATGTTGATTTAGTCAAGCTGATGGCTCACTAAATTTCTGTTTGCAAGCTTCCCCCATGTATCATATCCTGTATACCTCATTTAATTCTTGAACACACAAAAGTCTGATCTGTTAATTTGAAGAGATCAGGTTGTAAATATGATCAATTATTTTGAAGACCTTAAAATCTGTATACTGAGTAAATTTCCTTTTATAAAATTATTTCAACCGACTTAATCAATGTGTTTTAATGGGATTTGCATTACCCTCATTGAATTCATCATCATTATTATTTGGAATTAAAATCGTAGGGCACAAAAAGATTTATGCATAGACTTGTCTTTCTTTAAGAACTCAATAACTTTCTTAATTAACTTGGTAGTAGTTTCAGTGGTTGTCGTACTTTCAGTATCAAAACAGCCTATACTTCCTTCAGATAGTAGCAATGATGTAAGGCCTTTGATTGTTATGTAAATTTGGCATCAGAGCTTCCGTCTTTTTGTGGTGTAATGCTACAAATAAGATGGTGTTTTAGCCTTTAAATAACAGTTTCTTTAATGCATTTAACTTTCCCCAAGATTTCTATTTTACAAGTATAATCTTTATCAGTTACTTGGTTGAGTAGCTGCAGAAAAGTGGTTTTCTTAGTAGGCAAGTATTTTAACTTGTGAATTTGAAAGTACATGACTAATCTGTTTTCATTCTAGAGATTGGTATAGCTTGAAAGGAAAAAAATCTAAACAATACACACACACACACAACAATAAGAAAGTTGACAGAAAAAGAAACTGATTTAGTTCTTATACACTAACAATATGTCTGAGTGTTTTCTCCAAAAACACTTGAACAAAGCCTAGGAAACTTGGTAATTTGGTGCTGTTTGTCATGTGCTGCCATGTTTTTTGTTCATGGTCAACTGGTGCTTTGACAGCAGGTCACTTGGCAACTCTATCAATCCATGGAAATTTTGGTTCATACTTTCTTGTTTTATGTTTCATAATGTTATACAATGTCATACAATATCACTAATTCTTCAAAACTAATCTATTTTTTTTAATAATGTGATATATAATTTTTATTAAAAGTCAATCATCATTGATATGAAGTTATGAAATCACTTGTCATGAATAACGCATTCACTTGTTAATGGTGGTATTGTGGCTTGTCAATGACATCATTGTGAATCTGCTTAAGTTTTGAAAAAATATAATTTAATTAACATAAATTTTAGTAATACATTTGGATTATAATATAATATAAGATGATGTAATAATTCTATTTTAAGTGAAATATAATGGAATTGCAAATTTGAATGAATGTTTTTTTGCATCAATTGTTAATGTTTGCATCTTGACTTATTAATAGTGGTACTATAACTTGATAATTTTCCTGATGATATATATGATTTTGAGAATTGGTTTGCCTTTTATTTTTTAAAAAATAAATAATATAACCCGGAGGAGACACGAACACCACAAGAATTATTATAAAAATATATATATATATATATATATAAGGATCAAGTTGTCCTTATTATAAACTGTAACAAAGAAAGTAACTTTAGTCAGCAAAATAAACTCATGTATCAGAATAGACATTATATAACGTCAATTCACATTTGTTCCAAACTTATATAAGCAAATAAATTAACAAGTGATAGGGCAACCATTGACAAGTCGCACTAAAATTGTTAACAAGTAAATGCGTTGTTCATGACAAATGATTTCATAACTTCATATAAGTGATGATTGACTTTTAATAACGATTCTATATCATATTATTAAAAAAACAAGGATTAGTTTTGAGAAATTAGTGATATTATATGACGTTGTATAACATTATGTAGCATAAAATCACATTTTTCCAAATTTATATCAGCACATTAATTGACAACTGATAGTGTAGCGAGTGATAAGTGACAAAGAATATATTGACAATAAGCGGATAATGACAACTAATTATGCATCAGAACGTAATACACAGCTAACTTTCATTTACAACTTTATATACATATAATTACATCAATTTCATAACCCATTAAAAAAAATACAATTGCATGTATCAAGTATCAAACTAACTGTTTGTGTGTATTGTGACATTTACAAAAAAAATCCGTCACTTCTATTTACAAAAAAATTCTTTTGCCATTATTTATCTAGGTTCGAAGTGGCAATTCTTTTTGTCATTTCTTTTTCTTTTGTCTCATGTGACTATTCACCCTTCTTCATTGCCTCTTCTTTCTCTTTTTGTAACTTCTGCCAATGAGTTAAGGGTATAGAAGGTAATTGCCTTTATGTAAAAAATTCAAAAAATCGGTTAATATAAATCTACATACCACTATTATTATTGACAAGTTAAGAAGCTATATTGATAACTGTCACGGTCCATATTAACAACATATTTTTTTATTTCGCAGTAAGGATTTCTAGCCATACCAATCTTCATCTTTCTTATCAATTCCCCCTGAACCATGCCCAAACAGAGCAAGCTTACTTTCAACTCACCCATAATATACCTAGAAACAGAATACCCATAATTAACCTACTCACCCCTAATAAAAACCCAACTTAGATGACCAAACACATACCAAACCAAAAACACAAGTAATTTTTGCCAATGACTGACATGAGTGGAGTGGGATGAGATTTTCATATAGGAATGGGGAAGAAACAAAATGAAGTTTGAGTTTTTTCCCCCTTGCTTCTTGCATATTGAGTGATGATTTTCAGATTGAAAAACAGGACAACTTTTAGTTACTGTGGATGCATTTCATTAGGGGCAGAAGCATCATTTTACACTTCACCAAATTGCACTCAAGTCCCTTTGGGACTTCAGATTCATTATCACATTTCCTATGACTTTTTTGTAGTATTTTGTGTTTCATGGAACCTTACTGTCATTTTCTCTCTTAGTTTTATAGAGTACCCGAACGCGAACGCATTATCCGCTAGACGCTGAAACATCACAGAGCAATTCCAAGCTGACATCCTCTGACATTAGCCATTGCCACCCCCGAAATGAGAGCCTCTTCAACTCTCTTTCTCAAAGGGCAAACTCCTTACTTTGCTACACTCATCGGAAGCTCCAAATATTACAAAGGTTGTTCATCCCAGTTTTGAACTTTGAGTTTGCTGTTTGCTTTCTGAGGTCTTTCTTTGGCTTCTCATATTGGTTTTCTTCTTCATTCTTCCTTGGATGATGACAATAATATCTCAATTTTTCATATATCGTGCTGTCCATTTTCCAACTTCCCAAATACCAAGGTTGCCTTTTAATTTTGGTTCAAAAGTTGCGTGGTTAAATTATTAGTTGGTTTGTGCAATGTACTTAGTGGAGGAAGATGATTCTTTATTATGTTTTCAATAACTCTATACAAACGCTTTTTTCAAATACGTACTTGCTAGTATTGTGATTTGTTTTCTATATTTATTTTTATCTATTCTTATCCTTTGCCTCAAAAACTTGCATTTTCTCAAAGTTTCAATTTTTCACCTCTCCTTTCGAGAATCCTTCTATTTCCTATAATTGTGTACTAAATGCAGGAATACTCCATGTCAAGAAGCATCCAATCATCCACTTCTGTAAGAACATACAAACTAGCTCATATGAAGTTGCTAATGGAAGCTATGTTCCCACTTTGCAGATCGAAGACAAGAATAACAAAGTATGAATTTCTTCCTTTCATTTATTTTGTACCTTGTGTGAGGTAGAATAATGTTATCCTGTACTGTAGATGGAGCTAAAGTAAACTTATATGAATCTTACAGAAGATAGCTTAGCCACTCAATCCTCTCAATTGATTGAAGACAAAGCAGTATAGCATTGTAACATGCTACCTCTCTTCCTAATTGGAATATTATCAAAGCAGTATAGCATTGTAACATGCTACCTCTCTTCCTAATTGGAATATTATGGAACTTATGTTCTATTATTTATATGGCAAGCTCAGGCTTGGCTTCAAGGATGGATTAAGGACTGTAACATTGGTTGAACCGCTGAGAGTACGCTCATGTTGACTTTGAAATGGAGCATAGAAAATAAAACTTAAAAATGGATGCTAAGCACCCGCTCCTCCCTAGCATTTGATAACCAGGTTTCTCTCCTCTGACTACAAGGAATTCCATACCCTTCAAATCATTTCCCCTTCCAATATTCTTCTCGCTTCTCCTTGCGTCTATACATGAGATCTTGCTTATTTTGTCTCCCCGTTGTGGGTTCATTCTTATTCTCAGGTTGGGCTTGGCCTTCCTTTCTTTTAGCATACATGAAGCATGCTTCAACCTCTTTTTGGGCTGGTTTCTTTCCTATATAGTGTTCTCTTCCCCACGGCCTGTTATTCCATTGAATGGTATGTGATGCCTTATTTCGCATTGGGTAGTGTGGAATGTTGTACAGGGTATATAAATAGGCTGATTTTCCTACCTCAATGACTAGCTTTTGGGGGAAGGTTCCTCATCCCCCTCAGGTGTCTACTAGAATATCAATTTGGCGAAAAATGGATTTATATATATATATATATATATTTTAATTATCACTTCGTTGTTATGCTTTCCCATAGATTTTTCAAACAGTTTGGGGGGCATTAATGATTTAGTCATTTTTCTTCCTTCCTTCATTCCTTCCTTTTTTTTTTTTTTTGTTCTTTCTCATATTGATATACCATTTTCTCATATTGGAAAGTTTTACTACACTGCTATAAGACTAGCAATGCTATATGGCAGTGAGTGTTGGATTTTATAGGGACAACATGAATATAAAGTGACATTTGCCGAGATGAGAATGCTGAGACAAGATCTGTAATGAACATATACAAGGAAAAGTTGGAATGGTTGTTATTGATGAGAAAATGGGACGCGCCGGTGAGAAGAGTTGATTAAATAGTATGGAGTCCTTTAAAAAGGAGTAGAAGAAGGCCTATATCTAAAGATTTGGCTTTGGATAGAGCTCAATGGTGTCATGCATTTCATGTAGTTGACCCCACGTAGTAGGATAAGGCTTTGTTGTTGTTGTTCTTTCTCATATTGATGTAATGGTAGGCTTAATAATTCTGGCTATCTTTGCATTGAAATTTTCTTTCTTTTCTAATATACTTGCTTGATTGTCACTTTTTTTGTTCTCAAGAAGAAGGAAGTTTGGGGCACACAAAAAGTTATGCTAAAACAAATAGAGATGAACAAAGCAATATAAATCTAACAAAGCCTAAATTACTTGGGAAGGGTAATTATTATTTTCTATGTGTAAATTGGTGACAATTAAAAACATATGGGGCAATGATGTTAAAGCTGAATTTCTGCATCAAGAAATGAAGCTGTCCTTTTTGTTTTCCACATGTTAATTGCATTTTTATGGAGACTGAGTGTTATAGATGAGTGATCATAGATTAGATGTTAAAGGGATTACTTTCATCTTCAAGATATTCCCCATCCGCTTTTTATTTTTGCTTCTTTATTACTTTGGCTTGTGTGAGTATGAGTATACAACAATAACAAAACATTATTCCACTAGGTGGGGTCGGCTACATAGATCACATAATACTATTGAACTCTATCCAAAGCCAAATCTTTGGATATATTATTAATTGAAAGATCTTGTTTAATGATTTCATTAAGTGTTGTCTTCGACCTTCCTCTATTTTTTTTAGAGGGCTTCATACTATTTGATCAACTCTTCTCACCAGCGTGTTTCAAGGCTTCTTTGCACGTGACCAAACCATCTCAATCGGTTTTCTACCATTTTCTTATCAATAGCAGCCACTCCAACTTTTCCGATCACAGATAACTCTTGTCGTTTTTCTTCATTTAAACCACCCAGCTTGAATTATATGACTAACATCTCCATCTATTTCATCATCATTTAGGATAATTTATTCCAAATATTTAAACTTGTCCACTTGTGGAATGACTTGATCTCCCAATTTGACCTCCAAATCTGTTCTATCTTGTCTCTTATAAAAAATGCAATGCATATATTCTTTCTGTTTCTACTCAAACGGAAACCCTTCGATTCTAAGTTTCTTCTCCATGTCTCAATTGTTGAGTACGAGTATAGTTTTGGATGTTATAATTTTACAACTTAGGTTTTTTACATTCTTTGCTATTCTTTAAGATCTCAAATCTGTTTTGAGTATTGTGGTGACTATCAAATCTTTGTTATTCTTTCTTTACAATATGTTAAATTAAAATAGTTGTGCAGACCAAATTGTGGTTACTATTTAGATATTCGATGGCAGGAAAAACAATTTAGAAAATTAGAAGCCATAGGAGCATTTCAAAAGCTGCCCATGGTGATGCCATCTATTGACGTTCTTGGTTCAGCACTAAGGAAGGCAAGAAGAGTTTCTCCAACAAAAGGTTTTTGACTAAAATGATATTCTTTTGTTTAATCTTAGCATGTCTGTCTTCCATCAATGAACGTTTTGTTAATATTAATTTTTAGTCTCTTTAAACTCTAGGCATCGTTAACACTGCAAAAAGGGAGAAGAACAAGGGTGCAAAGCAACTTGATGCATTGATGAAAGTATATTCTTAACTTCCATACATTTCATGTTATTCTAATGTTTGTTACAACTTCCACATTCTATTTTTAGAAAAAAGTAGTAAAAATTGACATTGCAAATATTTTCAGGAACTGGCTGTTCCTTTGAGGACTTATGTGGAGAAATTTCCAAAGAAAACATATCTTCATCCCTATGAAAGGTCTCTCATTGAATTGACTCTTGGAGATGGATATTATGAAATGGTATATAAGGAAAATTGCTCTTCAGCAATTAGAACATTTATTTTGGGCTTCCATTGCCGTTGTAAATCCTTTGAGTACAAATTTTGTTGACCATGGATTTAATCTTGTTCTTTTAGACATTTTTGCCACAATTGTACAATATCATGATTTTGTTGACTGCGGATGTACTATCTAACAGGTCTTGGGAAATGTAGATGCTTTAAGGAAGAAGTTGGTATCTGTTGGAAAGGAACATGCTTCACTTTGTGCTAAGGTTTGTCTAGTTAGTAACTCACATCTTGATGGTGAAATTAGAGTTTATTTGGTTTTGTGTGTATTGGATCAATTTTTTTAGTGTGTGTGTGTGTGTTAAATAACTCTACTCTGGATGTTTTTAAGTTTAACATACGTCTGGGGTAGATAACATTATGTAGTTGTCATGCTGTTTAAAGGCTTTATTTATAGTGATATATGGTAAGATTTAGTATGTAGATGACTTTGCCTAGTGAGATAAGGCTTCTTGTTGTTGTTGTATTGTAAGATTTAATGTAAGCATTAGTGAAAGTCTTTTATGCGTGTACTAGGTGTTCGTTGTAACTTGTTCTTGGCTTGATAAAAGCAATAAATTTTCTTGTCTATGTTATGCTTTATGTTTAAAAAATTGACGATTTTTATGGCCTCCTTGTTTCATCCTAAAAGCAGTAGTGATAGCTAAGTTTCTGTTTTAATTTTTGTTTGAGGGGCATAGGCTTTCCACGGCCATTCACTCATGGCATGCATACCCTCTTTGGACCCCACCACCCAAAATATATGCCCAATTTCTATCTCCTTTTCTCTTCCCTCTCACCTAATCTTCACAGATCATGAGTTAGTTGTACATGCATGCTGTGACTCAATATTGAATTTTTTAAGATTCAATAGTTTGATATCTCTCTTATGCAAACATCTTGTTGCTTCTCTTGCCGTCTTTTTCTAAACATTTTGATACCATGATTTCAAGTAGTCTTCATCAAAGAGAGAAGCAGAAGAGAGACTGAATCAGGTGTTCTTTCTATCTTATTTGGAACATCTTCTTTGTTACTTGTTGTGATGGTTCTTACACATTATATTTATAGCAGGGCATTCAAAGAGTTGAAGATATATTTGCCCAAGAAGGGAAAGTTGTTGATGATTTGTTGGGCATTGCTAAGGTATTTGGGAGAACTATTGGATTAGGACTTTTCTTTTCAAACAATTGTTTCCTTTGCTATATTGTGCATCTACTTTTAAACTTTGCAGACTTTAAGAGCGATGCCTGTAATTAACTTGGAAACACCTACGCTCTGCCTTGTTGGAGCTCCTAATGTAGGCAAATCTTCTTTGGTTCGTGTACTCTCTACTGGAAAGCCTGAGGTGTGCAACAGAATCCTTGACTGTTTTTTAAGCATGCTATGTTATGATTCTGTTGAACTATATTCTTTCCTTGTCATGTTTTGCGTGACTGAGCTAGTGGCTGCACATATATTATTTCATTTCTTCCTATATTTTAGCTATAATTTACTCATCATATATTCTTTTTTCATCTGCATTTATTTTGTTGATATTAACTTGTATTCATAGCAATTTGATTAGCCGATCCTGAATTAGTCTCATGTCTGACTTCTCAGCTTGAATGTATATTTTAGTGTTTCTACTCTTATAGAATGTAGACTGAACCAGAGAGTCATTCCACTCTGATTTTTCACTTCTAAGCAAAAACATGCCTAACCATCCCTCTATTATATTTGGTGGTGTTTCTGCCTTGAATACCCAAAAACAGGATGGGATAGAACTCTTTGATATGTCCACTTATGCTCCAAGGAGCGTACAATGCCTCTCCTGCCTTCACGCTGGGCATTGGCTCCATAGAAGTTATTACCTTCAGTAGTCATCTAGTGTTCTGATGTAAACGGAAAAGGCTTGGTTGACTACTTGATGGGTGCTTCCCCTCCTCACAAAGTGAATGACCTAAGATCTAAACATGTGGTATTCTGAAAGCAACGTGATAATTTCATGATTGATCAATTCCTTAACAACTAATATTGGGGAAAATTCTTTTATTGTTAAAGAGCACAGGAAGTATGGCAAGCAGCTAGGCAGAAGTTCTCTTTGATGGACAGTACCACCTTGCTACGCTAAGAGAGATTGAAGGGCCTATCCCTGATTTAAGACAGTGAGAGATGGGAACAAATCAATACTACAACACACTTATGAAGTGCTAGCAATAAATTGATCTATGTTAGATTCATAGATGGTTTTGTGTAGCTGGTCCTACCTACTTCAAGCATGTTAGAAAAGAGAGAATTTATAAACTTCTCCTTTGGCTATATTCAAATTATGAAGAAAGTTAGGGGGGGCTAAATGGGATCTCGGCCACTTCCAACCCATAGAGAAGTTATCAGGTATTGTAGTTCACCCTGAAAGGTTGCTGGTGGTGTTGTTGCTATGAAGTTATCCAATATTTTGGTCCTTAAAAGGTCTTATTGGGTCCTAAGTTGGTTTTTAATTTATGATATTAGCGGGGATCTCTGGAGTGTGCTTAGTATTTTAACATAGGTATTAGTGCAAGGGGGGATGCAATAATCTTTGGTTGTTCTTGATTTTTCTTGTTTTCATGACGTTATTAGCTGGATCAGGCCTCAGCTCTAATACCATGTGAAAAATTTCAGAGTATGAAAGACTCAATTCTGTTGATCCCATCTGAAAACTAGGGTACAAATGGGGGAGTGATGGCAGCAAATGACCAGCTCTTCGACCCATGAAATGAGTGCATTTAAAATTTAAAGGATGGCACGTGCAATGGTACAAGGGATGACCAAATAGCAAGCATTTTTTGACTGAAAAATGAAGTAACTTGAGGAAATAAAGTTTGATAATCAGACATGATTTTCTAACACTAGAATATGTCCTGATCTCTAATACCATGAAAAATGAAGGCAAACAGAATTATAGGGAGAAATGACACGGGTGGGAACAAGAACCAGAGAAGATATAGATCTTATCTTCTTATTATTCGATCAATTGTCCATGGCATATATATATGCAAAAGAATGAAATAATTATGACGGAGATGAGTGTATCGAATCAAGAAAAAATAGTATAGACAGAAGTGACCCCGGCTCAATGTTTTAATTCCATGAATCCCCTGGTTATTTTTGATGTGCTTCATGGAATTTTAGCAAAAATGTCATATTTTCACAGTAGTGTTGTGCTTATGTGAAACTAAGCTATTCTTTCTTAATTACAGGTGTTGATTAACTCTGTTAATACCTTTCATAATATGCTTCAGCAAAAGCTGCAAAACCACATTTGCGCTTAAAATTAAGATTCCATTGGCCATATAATGTTTTCTTTAACCTTCATCCTTTGAATTCTCTCTGGCATTTCAGGTTTGCAATTATCCCTTCACAACTAGAGGGATTCTTATAGGTCATATTGTTCTGAACTATCAGAAGTTCCAGGTCCAAAATTTTCTATAGCTTCTTGTTATTATTTTTTTAAAAGGTTTTCTTTCACTATGCATCTTCTAATTATATACCTCATTTAACTGTAGGTTACAGATACACCAGGCCTACTGAAGAGACAATATGGTAAAGAAACTTTCATTCTTCTTAAACTATCATGAACCTTTAGCTTCATAGTGGCATTTTGTTATGTATCTATGAAATTTTCTTTTATTACAGATCCTCTGTATATTTGTTGGTTTGAGGATTAATTTGGCTTAGAGTGGTCTGGTTGTGATAAACTTTTGGGTGGTCAATTTCTTGTCTTTTTTTAGCTCATATTAGTTATCTATATTAGAGATTTTGCTATAGTCTTTAATGGATTTCCCTTTGGCAAGATGATAGCTCTGATTTCCGAGGTTGGATGGTTGAAACTCGGGGTCTTACTTTTCTTTAGCTTGTCAAATCGGGATCAATGTCTCCTGTTACTATTTAATCTTACTTTAGGATCCCAGTTGCAGTAGCAGATAGAATGCAAATGATTAGGGGTTATGTTTTATGATTTAGTGCAACAGGAAGAAGAGTCACCGAGTTGGGAGATATGGTGTAGGCTGAAATTTTTGTTGTTGCCCTTTTTCCCTGTAGAGGGGTTGCCTTCATTGATCTCGTGTCTATAAGGGAGGGCATAAGATGCAATAAGTACAACTAATGCTTCTTATTGTTGGATATTACACGCGTGTCCAAAGGATGAATAGCCTGAATGTCAATTATTTACTCAATCAGCTATATTGAATTTAGTACTGTTGATTTGTTTTCTGTTCTTTTATTAATTTTTTTTCCTTCCTGGTTTGCATATTCAGAGGACAGGAACAATTTAGAAAAGTTGACACTCGCTGCCCTTTCACATTTACCAACTGCAATTTTATATGTTCATGACCTTTCTGGAGAGTGTGGCACTTCACCTGCTGATCAGGTACTATTAGTTCCATGCTTCTGTGACAACTTGATTATTAGAATAATTGATATGCATTGTGATACTTGTTTCATATCAGTCGGCATATAGAGAGTTCTAGGTAGTAATGCAAGAGTTGAAATTCATTTTATATATATCTTGTTTACATGTCAGTTTATTTTGAATAAACGAATTATTTATTGGCCTGCTTCATTTCAGGTATGGATAGAAAAAGATAATGTGCATTTTCCTTATTTCTTTGACTTGTTAATTCGTAGAATGATCAAGATGTTTTAGATTAAAAGTTTGTAGGCACGCTCACAATTTACCCATTTTCATATCAAACTTTTAAAATAAAATGATCATGATGCTTATTTTGGAGTATTCAGAAGTACTCAAAGTGACTGGAACAGGTGTGGCTTGAATTTCAGAACACCCAGAACTTCCTGGTGATACACTGAAATTGAGAGAATTTAGACCACAACTTATAAGATCTAACAAGTATGGATTATGAAGAGAATGATATTGACAACTAGATTTTCTTTAAAAAGACATCTCTATGCTCTTATTTGTTAAGGAGGTTGTTAACAACTACAATGATGACGCCCACTTGAGAATAATCAGTATCATGTAAAACTGAATGGACTAAGCTTGTGCTACTAAAATCCACAAATTTTGTGTCTGGCCTTGCACTTGTCTGTGGGTATAGTTAGGTGGAAGAAGCATGCTATTCTTTCATACGGACTGGTGACTACGTTGCCTGCGCATCTATTTCATTTACAACACAGAAAGAAAGGAAGGAACAGATGAACAATTAAAAAGAAAAAGAAAAAGAGTCCATTCAATTTGCATGTCTTGTCTCTAGCCTTGTGAGTGTTATTGTGCCCCTTCCTTTTTTCCTTCTTGCCTTCTCTCAGTCATGTTTTATGTGAAGAGAGTTGGGAGTGTATAAATGATAAGGAGTGGTCAGTTTTCAACTGTCTTCCTTTTGGTAAAAGCAGTTTATGATGGTTGATTATGCAGTTCACCATATACAAAGAAATAAGGGAAAATTTTACTGAACACTTGTGGCTTGATGTTGTATCCAAATCTGATTTGTTGGAGAAGGCTCCAGTAATCTATGCTACAGAAGATGCAGATCCTGAACAAGTTGAGCTGTTGAAGTACCGGAAATCAGGACCCGATGGAGCTCTTTGTGTCTCTGTGAAAACAGAACAAGGACTTCATGAGGTGAGATTCTTGTAATTCCTCTTAGTGAAATAGGCTTCCCTACTCTCACATCTTTCTTGACAGAATGGAAAATTAGGAAAGATTTATTGGACGTTTTAGTAATTTATTTTTACTAGGCTTTCTCTTGTTGTTTTCTATTTTATGCTTTCTTTTACTTGAAGTTTAATATAGGTTTTCTTTTATTTTTACTATGACTCCCTTTTTTTTATTTTTAATTTTAGATTTAAGTTATTATTATGGTATTTAGGGCTCTATAATTTGTCCTAAAGTTAATTGCATGATAGACCCTTTTATCAGTTATTACTGAGATTATTTGCCATCAATTCTCTATCCCTCCTTTCTCTTTATTTCTCCCTATATCTCTTTACTTCTCTGTCCTTCTGCTTCCTCTCATACTCCCTTTACATCCCTTCTTGTTCCTCGTCCTCTTTCTTCTTCATCCCTTTTCCCTTTTGCCTATGTCAGTGGCCATCATGAAAGATGCGTGGAAATTTTAGCACAAAGAATGGAAGTGAACATAACCACTTTTTATAAATTGGACACTATTACTTTGTAATATGTAAGAAATAAATAACCTTTGGTGGTCTAATAATATTGGTCATTGTCATGTTTCTTCATTATTTCTTATCTTGGATAACACTATTTCTTGAAATAATGTCAGTTTTCCACCCACTCTACCAGCATGATCAAGGATCCTCACTCTACTTCATTGCAAACTTTGAATCATGTGCTTTAAATTTGAATTGTCTAGAATTATACTTTTGCAGTTTTATTTTTTTTCTTTTTGGTTACATAAGAAGTAAAATATAAAATCAAAATAATCTTCTAATTGTAGAATTTGAAAGAAATAGTTTAATGAATGAAAGATAAAATTGAAATGATACAAATGAATTGTGAACAATTTAGAAATGGTAATTGAAATGAAGATCTCAATTGCTATAATTGAGGGCACCCAAACTCATACATTGGTCGTATATAGTGCGAAAGTTTTTTGTGCTCTCTTATAAAATTCCTTAATACAAGTATGCTTTTCATGTGCAGCTGAAATGTAGAGTTTATGAGCTGCTTAATTTGCAGATGGCTAAGATCAATGATAGAATCAAGAATCAAGAAAAGTGAAAGGTTTAATTTTTGGAGGACACCAAATTTATGAAGTAACATCACAGTCAAAATGCAATCCTCAGTTCCATGGTGTATTAACGTGGGCTTGCTCTCTGGTTGGTGATATGGCCGACAGTGGTTAACAATTAAGCATAAGATGGTGAATCTTGAGATTCTGCTGCAACATGGCTGCTTAACAGCACTGATTTGAGTTATGAAGAAATCTTAATGCATTAGAAACCCTGGAAGAAACTATATAAACTAAATCTTTTTTGACCCTCAAGCTTTACGATCCATCTTTGGCATAACAATTCATTGATACTTGTATGTAAATTTGGTGTAATTAAATCCATTGTTACAAATAATTAAATTTTTCTTTCATGTTTTTATTGTTCTTTGCCTTATAACTCTTCCTCTGTCATTGTTATCACCTCAGACTAACAAATTTCAAAAGAAAAACCTTGATTTGGATTTTAGTGTTTGTAATTATACTTGTACAAAGTGATCAATATTAAAACTAGGCCCCACAACCTTTGTTCTTAAAACTAGGTTAAACTAGGTTGGTCTTAATTTAAGGTAATGGACTAATCTTAGGTTGATAGGTGCTTTTATCTGCTACACTAGTGAGATCTCATCTTAGTGCCCACTTAACTTTTGCTCGAATGGTTTGTAGAGGAGCCCTACCTTCGTTGATCTATCTAATTCTTTGCAATTTCTTTTCTATCAACATGTCTTGCAATTTGTACTTGAACTCTTTTTGTATTAGCTTGTTCAGTTAATTTAATAGCTTTCTTCATTACTTTACAAAAGAAAACTATGTTCATGTAATTTTAACTGCAGGTGATAAAACCTAAATCTATCTAATGTAGCATATTTACAATGGGTTCATTTATCAAGAACTTAAATGTTGAAGTAGTTCGGTTGGGTTGTTGTTTGTAGACTTGATAAATTACAGCACTGGCAATATATGAAAATATGCACTATAGAGATTGAGCCCAATTTGCAGAGTATATGTATTTTTTCTCCTAATATTTGCTGTATGTTATTTTGTAGATATTGCAATCTATTCAATGATATACATAGGAGGAGGATGTTATTGTGTATTGTGCTAGACTCCTCTCTCTTGTATATATACCCCAATCCGCAAAATAAATAAAATAACATATTTTGAATCATATTTAGCCTCAATGTATATCAAAATAGATTGCAAAGAAAAGTTGAAGCCTTTGGAAAAATAATTCTTTCTCATTTCTAGATGATACATCACATCTTAATATATATACCTTGAAATAGCCAAGAAAGTAATGGCTGATAAAGTCTAACAAAAAACTAATTAAAACCTAATTAATGCTGATATGCAATCTATACAATAAATGACAGAATATTTCTACACTCCTCTTTAAGTTGGATCATATGTATTACTCATGTCCAAATTGTTGATGCATTCGTCGAAACTGTGTCTTGGTAGTCCTTTGGTAAGGACAACGGCAACTTGCTTCTTTGATAGAACATAAGTTAGAAACACAATTCTATTTTCAATCTTCTTTTTGATTAAGTGCCTATCTACTTTAACATATTTTGTTTTGTCATGTTGGATAGGATTATGTGACATATTTATAGCTGCCTTGCTATTAGAATAGAGTTTAACAGGTAACTTTGCCTCAACTTATAGATCCTCGAGGAGTTTTTGCAAACACAACCCCTCACAAATTCCATATGCTATGGCTTTAAGCTTGGCTTTTGTTGCACTCTTGGACACCACATTTTGTTTCTTACTCCTTCAAGCTACTAGGTTTCACCATACAAAGGTGCAACACCCAGATGTGGATCTTCTATCATAAGCAGCGTCAGCATATATTTCTATATTAGGTTGTTCACCTCTTTTCAAGAATAGGCCTTTTCCTGGTGTACCCTTGAAGTACTTCAAAATTTTGTACATAACTCGTAGGTGGGTCTCTTTTGGTGAATGCATGTGTTGGCTCACAAAGCTTATTGTAAAGGCAATGTCTGGCCTTGTATGTGACAGGTATATCTCACCAAACTTTGATATCTTTGCTCATAAATAAGGTTCTTTCTTTTTTTTCCCTCCTTTTCTTTTTCATCGCCATTGTTGTTATCTTTTCCCTTCTATGGCAATGGGAGTATCAATTGGCTTGCAACTGAGCATTCCAATTATGTCAAGAGATCCAGGATATATTTTCATTGTTAGATGCATATTCCCTTCCTTGACCTAGTAACTTGCATGCTGAGGAAATAACGCATTTGCCCCAGATCTTTCACTTCAAATTCGGAGGTTAAGACTTTCTTTAATCTTTCTATTTCCTTAATGTCATTTCTATGTAGGACGATATCATCCACATAGACAATCAGTATGGCTTTTTTCCCATTATTGTGTTTAATTATGAAAGGTTTGATAGGTCTATACGTGGGTCTAAGGTAGGAGGATCGGTGATATTTTGCAAGTTCACAAACCTCACGATGAGTGGTACTGATATCATGGTTAGGACACAGATTAGGGAACAATCGTTGAAGGTATTGGCAGTTAGGATGACCCATCCTCGTATGCCATAAAATAAAATCGACATGCAAAATGACTTACTATAGGTGAGAGTGAATTACCTACTTGGTTGACCTTGAAATTGTATAACCCCTTGTACTCTTTGGCACTTCCAATTATCACACTAAATAATAGATCCTGAAAAACACAATGAGATGGGTGGAACTTAGCAAAACAATTTGACTGCTTGCTTAATTGACTTATTGAAATGAGAGTGCAATCAAGTTTAGGCGCGTGTAAGGTAGATTCTAAGACTACGAAGTCTGAAATACAAATACTCCTTTTATCGGTAACCAATACTAAGGAACCATCTCCAATCTTTACTTTGATGTTACCTCCACATGGGGTGTAGGTAAAACACAACTAGTCATGTGATCGGATTCTCCCAAATCAACAATTCGTACTATTGTATCATGTGATATCTGTAATGCCTGGAAAAAGGTTCCCCTCTTTGCCACTGATGTAGTAAGGCTCTGCTTTGTTACACCTTATTTTTGTACCTCATTTTATTTTAATTGGAACTATTTAGAACCATTTCTTATTGCTCAAAGTTGGAAGAATTTAAACTTTGAATTTCTTGAAATTTGGGTTATTATTCATTATAATCTTCACAAAATTCATAACTAATTTTAGAAAAATTAAAATAAAATGGTTCTAAGTTCTATAGAAATCTCATGACATGTTTTTTAAAGAAAAAATGCTCATTGGTATCCAAAAGTCATCAATTACTCCCATAATTCGTTCATAGAGATATTGTTCATTTGGTAAATTTTTAATTTTTCAGAATTTATGCTCAACTATAGGAGGGCATAACTTTCTATACAAAATTCCAAATTTAATGAATTATCATTTATTTTAAAGCTAAAAATGAGATCTATAATCTTGTCAAATTTCAGTTCCAGACTTCACCAATTATTTAAAATGTCATTGGTCAAACTTTACCCCTAGAAAGTCAACTTTTATCATTTTATGTTACCATATTTGATTTTTCTTTCCTTTTCAATTCAAATAATCAATCCACTCATACTTTCAATACTAAAGCATAATTTTTGAGCAAATGTTCACATACATACTAGCCTTAATCATCAACACAAACATTGAAAATAATTTATAATAATCCCCAATAATTACAAACATTGTTTAAAGAGACATATTAATCAATTTTCTCCCAAAGTAACTTTCTTCTCTTTGTCTTTGCTTGATTCAACTCCTAGATGGTGAAATTTGAACATAAAGATCAGTAGTAAAGAACCATTATCATCATGCAATTCATGCTATGTGAAAATGTGGCATCTGTACATAAAATCAATATCATTATGCGGTATGGGAAGAGAGCAATTAATCAAGCCATAAGTCATTCCTCGTACATAATACCAATGCATATTCGACATACAATTCCATACATAATCACATGATTTGCTCAATCATATTATGGCAACATAAATCACATAACACATACACATTTAAACACGTAAGAAAGCAATCAAATTATGAGTTCAATGCTACCTCTTGGTTGACAACTCAATTCGGCTTCTTTAGGGAAATTGTGTTCCTCTTTGATCTCTTACAATGTGCCTATCATTCCAAGTACAGACATACTCCGAATCACCAATGATTCAAGCATAAACACTAATGCTTGACTTAAGCTCAATTAAAACCCTTTTTTCCTTGATTTTTAACATAATTATTTCTTCTTTGTTTCAATCAATCTCTTGGGTAATTTTTATACAATTTTTCATGTAAAATTCAAATATTAAATCAGATTTTACAAAATCAAATTCCTTCCCTTCTATTTTAGCTTGACCGAATGGGGTAGTACAACTTTCAAAAATTTCATTTTTGATTCCAATGATTTTAAACACTTTTTCTTGGTATTCTCCTATACAAAAACACCTTTTTACATTCATTGGAATCATCAAATCATATTGAAATAAACTCCTACCCCAAGAACACAAAGTGGCTGAATGGTATGCCTAATTACCCTAACTTAGTTTTCTTCCAAAATCACTCCAAACACCATTTAAACATGATAATTTCAACTCATTTTCAAGGCTTCTATCCTTCCCTAATTCATACTCATTCCAACTGAAACATGGCAGTACCATAACCTTGGATTGCAATGTGAATTTCTAACCATAACAGGCTTTAAACTTAACCAAAATAAAGCTCAAACTTGCTTTGATAAATCCTTGACCAAAACTTGGTATTGCCTCCTTCAAATGCACTGTCTAAGGCTCACTTTTAAGTATTGGTTATTTTAGTGTAATTTTTTGTCAATTTTTTTGGCTATTTTAGTGTAATTAGGGGGTTTTTATAGAGCATAAAATATGACTCCTCCCCCTCATGAATGGCATGATTTTTAGCAACCTAAGAGAATACCTCATAATTTCTGATCATGTCATGTGTATAAATTCAAGATTATTCCATGAATATTTAGGGTTAATTGGGCTTAAATCCATTTAAATATTGGGCCATGTTTTTGCACAAAATTTTTGGGCTTTCTTGGCCCAAAATGAGGCCTAATATTGATCTGGAATGATCAAGGGAAGTGGCCCAATCATAAAATATCAATTCTAAGCAAAATTAAAGTTTATCGATTACTATTCACTTGTAACTTTTCATAATTATTTTAGGCCTCCAAAATTAAATTTTTCTCCATGAAAAAAAATCCTATTTTAATATAAGAAGGCATTCTAAAAAACTTTAGAATTTTTCTCCACCCCTAACTATTTATTTTGCATTTTTTTCGAAATAGGGTTTACTAATAAGATTTCGGTAATAAATATTCTAAAATTAATTCTTGCACTTCTAAGGCATGAAATCAGTTTTA